CCACGCACAGAGGTTCTGTCCCAGGGAAAGGCTGGTCTTGCTACCCTGAAACGCCGGAGCAGTCCCACTCCTGCAGCCCTGCCTGCTTGGGCCTGTAAAGAGGATCCTCAGGGGCTCCCATCTGCTGGTTTCCTGGTCTATGAGCAAGACAGACAATGGACATGTGCTCACACTACTTGAAAGTCTTGCTTTGACCTTGAAAATCATATTTGACATCAAATGGCTGCCTGAGTGTTGATGGGTACTGTCACCACCCAGAGTTGAGGAAAGGTGGTGTCACCGGGCAGAAAGGCATTGAGAATGTGTCCACCACTCACACATACAGCAAAGGTGGGTTTGGCAGAGGCATAAGTGGCACAAGGAGGGCACACCTGCCTCAACTACAAAGGATCAGCCCAAGGACTTTGAAGAGGCTTTGAAGAGTGGACCAGGAGCAGGGTTGACCAGGACTAGCGTAACGCCTGGGCAAATTAGGGCCACCTGAGGCACAGCTGTGGGGGTGACCAAGGCCAGGGTGATACACAGCACCTCTCTTGCCACATGCAGCTGCAGCAAAGCATGAGGGAAAGACACGGCTCAGCACTTTGAGGGTCCCACCCTCGAATCTGGTCTGACCTCCTTTGACTGGTGGAATGTGCTGGAAGTTTTGCTATTGGATTTGGAACCCAGGCCTCCACTTGACCCTCCTGGATGTTGGTTGAGCCTCCCTGAGAAGGCAGGGTAGGCTGGGCAGGATTCCAGGCAGCTGGTAGAGAGCCTAGCATCAGTGATGTAGCCCTGAGCATCCGGCACAGTGCCCTCTCAGTCCAGTTGACCCTCAGCCAACAGCAACTTCATGAGCGAGGCCTCGGGCAGCCTGGGCTCCCTCAGAGCCTCCAGGTGAGAGGAAGATGGCAGGTGGTTGTTAAACCATGTGACACTTAGTCTTAAGGCAGGTGGCGTTGAGTGTGGTGGAGCAGACGGGCAGCGCAGCAGCCGCCACAGGGCTGCAGACAAGTGCCCTTGACAAGAGAGGAGAGGGTGCCCAGCGTGAGGATACTGCACTGGGGCCTCTGCTAGGACCTCACCTCTCAGGGCTAAAGGAGAGGGAGGCGGCTGCCAGGCTGGAGGTAGTTGGGGACCCCAACCCTAAGGCTGGAGTGGACCTTGGCCAGCATAAGGCAAGCGAGGAGGGCACCGAGCCAGGAGGGAGGGAAGGTCATTGTGAAGAGTGTGGAGTCCCCGAGGACTGTGGCAGCATGGCTGGGAGAGTGGCGGGAGCCAGGAGTAGTATCTAGGAAAGGGCAGCATGGCGCAGGGTCAGCACTGGGCCCCTTCCACACAGGTCTTGTCAGGAAGTGGCAATGGGGGGGAGCCTGCCCGCTCCAGGCGCCACAGCCCAGCGAGAGTGGGGAAGCTGCACCGTGGAGAGAAGGCTCTGCCAGGCTCCGAGCCCCCCGCAGCGTGACAACAGCAGTCCCCAGGCTGTGCCCACCCTGAGTACTCCGTGTCATGAAGCAGTGATTGCCATAGGCTGCTCTGTTTTGAGTACAAGGACTGAGGCGCATGACTCCACACCTTGTTTCTACAAGTAAACAGCCACCATCTGCCTGGCACAGCCATAAGGCTCAAAATAATAAATAAATGAATTAATTGCTTATGAGAATGACCCCTGTGAACTTATCAAATCGATCAGAAGCACAGGGGTGCAAGGGTGTATCAAACATCGGAAAAACCAGGCCCATGAGCTTATCGAACACCCCAGAGCACCAAATGACATAATGCCCTCACCTGAGGCCCATAAAAGGAGGGGCACCCCAAGATTGGACATGACAGCACCCTGCCCATGTCACCTGGTCACTTTTCAGGAGCCTTGCCCAGGAAAATCACCACAGCAAGGACCTTCCAGATATCTGTGCTCCAGGGTTAGCATAGTGTGGTTCCTCCAGCCTGTGATGCCCACACACGGCCCCCTCCAAGCTGAACAACCAAAGTTGACATCCAAGTGGACACTGTGAAGCTGCCTCTGTCAGAACCTTGGCCTAGAATAAGTGCCTACACTCTGACAGCTCCAAATAGCCAGGAACGATCTATTTGGCTGGTTCATGATCTTATCTGACCACTACAGATTCTTTGCATCTTATCTGCTGTCTGCTGGAACAGGAAGTAGGGAGGAGGGAAAGATCGCTGACCCTGGGTCCAGGATTCAGTCCATCCCCAATGTCCCAGTCATAATGCTACATCATCAATGACTCCCAAATACTGCCTTTTTCTGTGGGTTGATACTGGAATGGGCATGCAGGGCCTCTGCTTTGCCAGGTGTGGGTCCGGGCTCAGTACGTGTGAGCTGGCCACTCACAGCTACAGCTGGGACCATCTGGTGTCCTGTGGAGGTGCATGTACAGGGCTGGTGTTGGCTGTCAGCTAGGCCTTTATGATACCGTGAAGTACATATTTGATCTCTGTCTCCTTGCACACCAGTTGAAAAATACCTGTAACTTCAAAATAATGTGTCTTGGGCTGGGGCTGGGGCTCAGTGGTAGAGCACTTGCCAAGCATGTGAAAGACTGGCTCTGAGTCTCCGCACCGCATATAAATAAATGAATAAAGTAGGGCTGGCGATGTGGCTCAAGCGGTAACGCGCTCGCCTGGCATGCGTGCAGCCCGGGTTCGATCCTCAGCACCACATACAAAAGAACGTGTTGTATCTGCCGAAAACTAAAAAGTAATTAAATAAATATTAAAAAAAAAAAGACTGGGTCTGAGTCTCCGCACCGCATATAAATAAATGAATAAAGTAGGGCTGGCGATGTGGCTTAATCCGTAGCGGGCTCGCCTGGCATGCGTGCGGCCCGGGTTCGATCCTCAGCACCACATACAAACAAAGATGTTGTGTCCACCGAAAACTAAAAATAAATAAATAAATATTTTAAAAAATGAATAAAGTAAAGGTCCATCAACAACAACAAAAAATTTTTTAAAGAGTGATGTGTCTTTGTATATCAAGTGCTGGCTAGTAACCCCCTGGGTAACTTCAGGAGGGGGCCCTGAGGAGCAGATGAAAGTCCGGTTGATCACCAGTGACCATTGATCTAATCCATTATGCTTACATGAGAAGCCTACATTAAAACCCAAAGAACAGCCAGGCATGGTGGCCCCCACACCTGTAATCCCAGTGACTCAGAGGCTGAGGCAGAAGGATTGCATGCTCAAAGCCAGCTTCAGCAAGTTAGCAAGGCCCTAGTAACTTAGGTCCCCTCTCCCTGAAAACAAAGGGTCTGGGGATGTGGCTCAGTGGTTAAGTGCCCCTGGGTTCAATCCCTGGTAACCAACCAACCAAACCAAACCAAACAAGCCCCCAGGGACAGGATTCCGAGAGCTTCCAGATGAACACTTAGAGGTTCCTGAGGACAGTACCCAGGGAGAGCATGGAAGATCTAGGACCCTTCTCCACCCTCTTCCCCTGTGTCTCTTCATCTGCGTGGCTTAGAGTACACTTTATGATAAACCAGTGAATGTGATTCCCTGCCTTCTGTGATCCACTGGCACAAATTAACTGAACCAAGGAGGGGGTTGTGGGAACCCTGAATTTTTGCCGGTGGTCAGAAGCATAGGTAAGACCCCTGGAGCTGGTGGCTGACATCCAAAATGGGGCCAAATCCTTAATCCATGCATGGGGTCTGATGAGATCTCCAGGCAAACAGTGTCATCTGAGTTTGAGGACACCGGCTGCTCCATTGTTGAATAAGAGAGTAGGATACACTGATTTTTTGTTGTTGTTGTATCATCAGACCCTGGCAGGGTGCCAGCTGCAACACACACAGGCCAGGGAAGCCTTCCTCATAGCATGGGGCCAGGTCTCAACAGCAAATGTCCCAAGGCAGCAAGGTGGGTGTGTACAGCACCTTTAAAATTAATCCTTAGGGGCTGGGGTTGTGGCTCAGTGGTAGAGTGCTTGCCTAGCATGTGTGAGGCACTGGGTTTGATTCTCAGCACTCTATATAAACAAATAAAATAAGGAACTAAACATCAACAACTAAAAAAAAAATATTAAAAAAAAAAAAACCCTCAGCCTTAGAAGTCATGTCTTGCCAGGCCCCTGTCCTCACCGGGACACATCACAAGGTCACGGACCAAGAGGTCAGTGCCCCTTTTGGAAAACCCAGTCTGCCACACAAGGGAATCACCACCATGACCCTGTGCAGCCCAGAACCCTCCCTTCCTACTCATAGTGGAGGCCCAACGCCCCCAGGAAGATCCTTTAGAGGTCAAGTTCATATTCAAGAGGCAATGAAGGGACAGTAGAGGGACAAGGGAAGAGTCTCAGAGAGATGCGGCTGGACAGCAGGCACAGCCTGTGACAAAGCTGGTGCTCATGCACTCTCGCTGGGGACTGTCTGCACAGGCCCCTCAGCCCTCGGGGGGCTTCCCTTCAGCAGGAGGGGGCACTCAGGCAGAGCAGAGGTGAGAACAGGCAGTGTCCTCTCTGTTCAGCTGGGTGGCCAGACCTGGGGAAGGAACAGGGCTGCGGCTGGTGAGAATCTAGTGCTCACTGTGTGCTGGGCACCCTCAATGTGTTTTGGGGATAAGATCTCATTTGTCTTTCCCAAGGACTCTAGGGTAAAAAGAGAAACCAAAGGTTCAAAGGGGAGAGGTAGGGAACACAGAGAAACCAGGGAGAACCTTGCTCTCAGGCTTCTGCTCCACTCTGGGTCCCTTGTATGCCTGATTTCTTTCTTCCCAAGGTGAGGCCCAGAACACAGGGACAGGCTCAGGCCCTCAGAGGAAATTCCCTGCAGGAGAAGGGGATACTGTGGACACTGGGGGTACTTTCCAGATTGACAGCCAAGCAGAGGGTGCACCCCATGTAGACTTCAGGGGTTATAGGCAGACTCTCCCCCCACCCCACCTCAGTGCCCCATGAGAACAGGAGGACTATCTGCTCCCTGCTGGGATTCCAGAGGGCTTCCCCAAGGTGAAGCCAGGGGCTATGCTTCCTCTAGACTAGGGCCAGACTAGGGTTGACCTCAGAGGGGCAGCTTCAGATGGGGCCCCAAGGACTGGCTCTCCAGACCTCTCCCTGGGCCAGAAGCCCCCAGGACCCTGCTGGCCCTACCTAACACTTCCAGTCTTCTCTTGGCCCCCGTGACCCCTAGGATTCTGGGGATGCCAATCCCTCCACCTTGACCTTGCAGAGCTTCCTTCCGGCGAAGAATCCATCCTGTAGGCTTCAGAACCACCCAGAGGAAGGAGAGGCTTCTCTACCACAGCCTACCCCTCACTTTCTGTCTCTCCAAAAGTGTGTTTGCTTTTTGTTGGTGTGTGGTAGGCCTCCTCCACTGGACTGGGAGCACCAGGAGGGTCTCCGGCCCTCGGGGCTCCAGGACCTCAGGAAACCTCCACCATGGATGCAGGACGTCTGTCAGGCCATGTATGCTGGGGACCCTGAGTGCTAAACAGAAAAGCAGTGCCCATGGTGTGATTCAAAATGAAAACAACAGCAAGCAACAGACAGAAACTTTTTAACAATTGCCCTCAGAAGAAAGGCACATCACCATTACATCCTTCTACCTGGCTTGTGTCATCACCCTGTGACACTGCCAGTCTGCCCACATCAGATTGCCCTATGGTGTCACCCAATGCCACCAACTGCCTGCCGAGCTCAGCCAGTCACCTCTCTCCAGCCCAGTGGCTGGCGTTGGTTCTTTCGTCTCAGCAAAGCTCGGTTCACGTGCCTAGAGGCCCAAGCCTGCACTGCATGCTGCACACGTGCAGCCTGAACAAATTTGGAGACTGAGGAGTTGTGGAGGTCGGGCTCCCCACTCCTAGAGGGGCTTGTGAAATTTCCTTTCAGACGTACTGCACCGCCGCGACGGACCGCATCCCCCGTGCGCTCCGGCTTCCACGCGGCGGGTAGGTGAGCCTGCAGCCCGAGCACCCCTCCTGGCTCGCGCCGGGAACCTGCCAGAGCCGGGCGCCGCGGTCCCACAGTCCGGGCTGGCGGAGCAGGCGCTGCAGCGAGTGAGTGACAGCTGGGGAGGCGGGGTGGCACGCCCGCGGAGCTGAGCTGGAGAGGCGCTTTGCCCATTGGCCGACGCTAGTGTGGGAAAGGACGCCTGGCCGGGTTCACAGGCCCCGCGGCGGTGCGGCCTTATATAGCCGGCCACTGTCCGGGTTCGCGGGCTTCTGGCCGGAACCCGCCAGAGGGCGCAAACGTTCTGCCCGGCACCAGAGCGCGGGGTGCAGGATGCCGGCTGACACCCCAGAGAAGCCGAGCGCCTCGCCGTGGGCAGGAGCGCAGGCCAGCGCCAGCCCGACCCCAGATAAACCCCGCAGCGCGGCAGAGCACCGTAAGGTGGGTTCCCGCCAGGCGTGGGGGGTTCGGTTGGGGGCGGGGCGGCCGAACGCGGGACTCAGCCGCTGCCCGACCCGCAGTCCTCGAAGCCGATCATGGAGAAGCGGCGCCGAGCGCGCATCAACCAGAGCCTTGCTCAGCTCAAGACCCTCATCCTGGACGCGGTCAGGAAGGATGTAAGTCGGGGCCGAGAAGGGGGAATCCAAGGACTGAGGCTAGCAGAATGGGACATGGCTGAGTTACAGACCACCACCCTGTCCCTGCCCCCAGAGCTCCCGTCATTGGAAGCTGGAGAAGGCCGACATCCTGGAGATGACGGTGATACATCTGCAAAACCTGCGTCGCTTTCAGGTGACAGGTGAGGCGCGGGTGGCAGCGGCTAGGGGGCGGGAGGCGCACAGGGCCACCGCCCTAGACACGACAGCTGGTGTCTGCTGCTCCCGCAGCCGCACTCCGCTCGGACCCCGCTGTCCTGGGCAAGTACCGTGCAGGCTTCAACGAGTGCCTGGCCGAGGTGACCCGCTTCCTGGCTGGCTGCGAGGGTGTCCCCGCCGAAGTTCGCTCCCGCTTACTCGGCCACCTGGCAGCCTGCCTGCTCCAGCTGGGGTCTTCGCGCCGCTCTGCCTCGCTGCCCGCCGCTGCAGACGAACCGGAGTCCGAGGTCTACGCTGGCCGCCCGCTGCGGCGCTCGTTAGACGGCCCCTTTCCCCTGCTGCGCCCAGGGGCCGCGTTCGCGCCGCTCCTGCCACCTAGGCTGACCCTGGCGCCTCCCGCCGCCCCCAGGATGGGATCTCAAGGCCGGAGCGGACCCTGGAGGCCGTGGCTACATTGAACTGCAGCGGGTCCTAGGGCCGCGGCCTTGGCCAAGACTGTAGCAGAGAGTATTTATTTCCAGAGGCTTGGGGTGGTTTTGTTGTCTTTGTGAACAGCCTGGTTCAGGCCCGCAGAGCGCCCAAGTTGGTGGTCCTCTGGCGGCCCGGCAGCCGGCTCCGGGCAGACGCGCCGGTTGGTGCCTCTTTTCCGAGGCCCCGCCTGTTCGCAGACCCAGCCGTCTCGCAGACTGGGTCCTCTTCCGGCCCGCCCCGCAGCCGGGGCCTGCTGTTGGGCCGCCCCTGCCTCCGGAGCGTTGGGATTGCTTTGGTCCGCGGTAGGGCGGGCGACCCGCTCGGCGACGCTGGGGTGGGAATGGGAAGCGTGCCCACGGGGCGCAGGCAGGAAGGCTTCCCGGAATGTATCTCAGTACTGGAAGGCGGTCGCACGGCATCTCTAAGGGTACTTATCCCAACTTCTCCCCGGACCCTGGGAGGTAGAGATCCGCCTTTTCATGCCATTGTTTCCCCGGGAGTTGTCCTTCGCTGGGGTGAGGACTGTCTTCTTCCTTTTAAGCTCAAGGTTCAGCACAAAGCCGCCCCGTCCACCCAGGCCGACCCCCAGGCCTGCACTACCAAGACAGTCACCCTGCTCTCTGCCTCCCTGGGCTCCTGGGGGCTGGGGCAGTGCCCCTGAACAGCAGGTCACCATGTGGGCCAGCTGCTGTGCCCTTGGGTGTACGTACATGCAGGGACTCCGCTCCCTTTAGATCTGGGTGGAAGGAGAAGGTGGAGGCTGCCCTTGGCAGGAGGGCTGGAGGGATCTGCAGAGGGTGACTGGAGGAGGGGAGATGTTCAGGGAGGGTAGGGCCCCTGCTGGGAATTGAGACTGGTGTGTAGGCAGGGGAGGCCACTTGCTCAGAGTTGGGTTCCAGACACACTGCAGGGAAAGGGGGACTCTCTGCCTGGGTGGCCAAAAAGAGGAGGCCAACCAGGATGCCACCTGTGAGGTTGGGCTTCAGATGCCCCCTCTCCCCAGAAGCAGCAGCATCATCCACCCCTGCCCCTTACTTCTTGATTCCTGGATCTGTTATGGGCACTGTTGCCAAAGGAATCTCTGTGGTGGGGACCACTTAGCCCTCTGGGACTACTCTGGCTCCACAGGACCCTTACACTCAGATGGGCAGACCCTCCTGATCTCTATTCCTTGAACTCAGTCCCCTCCCCAACTTTCTCCCCACTCTCTATGTACCTCAGACCACTCCCCTGCTGCAGGCTTCTCCAGCTGTCTGGGTCCAGGGGGACTGTTCTCCCGCCAGCCACACCTGTGTCCTTTCAAACTTAGCACCTGCTTAAAACAGTGGGCTCAACCTCAGCCCATGCTGAGCTAATCAATTGGTGTAAACAGTGTGCAGAATGGGAGTTGGGGTCTCTCTTGAGTCAATAGGGAGGTCCTAGGAAGCATAGCCTGGGCTGAAGCTGGGTCCCCAGCAGGGGACACTAAAGGGGTGGTTCTGGGTCTCCCAGGCTGCCCCCTTCTTGGCAACTGAGAGTGGCTGGGGCTCAGGAGCAGTGAGTCCCCTACATCTGAGTCTCAGCCTTTCTACACACTAGCCAGGACACTGCTTGACCCTGTTTCCTACCACCCCTGTGTGGGCTGAGGCAATATAGACCCTCATCAGGTGCTTTTCTGCAGGGCTGCCCTCATAGTGGGAGCAGCGCCCCCAAGAGTGGGTGTTCCCACTCTCAGGGGGCCTCTTCCTGTCCTCCCTACCCTTCTATATATTTCCTGTTTCTGAAGAGACCCTTGGGTCTTTCCTTGTCCCTCCCCCTCCCCCAGCTGTTCATGTCTTTGCGCTTGTCTTGCAGAGGCTTCCTGCTGAATAACAGATGGAAGTCCCTTTTCTGGGTGGAGGGGCACTGGTCATGGCCCTCCCAGTTCATCTCCAACAGCCCCCCTTCCAACCCCGTGCCTGGACTGGACCAAGGGTCAATAAGTGCTCGATTCATGTGCACTGTCGGCAGGCTACCTGCCTGTGTGGTGGGTCTAACTGGGTCCTCTCCTGTGGCTTGGGGACTGAACAATGACAACAGATTATAGGTATTTGAAATCTGGAGAAGAACTTATCCCTATGGTGTCAAAAGTTAGTGGCCAGGCCCATTAAACTCCATGCACTGGAAAATTGGGGCAGGGGCCGGGCTGGGGCTGCTTGGGTTCCTGGCTTCTGAGAGGTGAGGCCCACTGTTCCCCCGCCCCTCCTTCCCTCACCTAGCATCCCTGCTCCAAGGCTGTCTGTTTCCTACAGTCCTGCCTGTGCCTGGATGCTCTCCCTCTGCTCCCTGGGACCCCTGGGCTACATCAAGGAAACTGGGGCCCTGGCCTGGCAGCCTCCTGGGCACCTCCAATAGTCTCCTCCATGGGCCACATCCCCTTGCTCCAAGGTTGGCCTATGCGACAGTGGGGCCCTGGAGAGGGGACGGGCTGTCATTCCAGGCAAGGCTGCAGGCTCCTTCCTGTCTGCTCTGGGGAAGCCAGCTGCCCTTTCCATGGAGAGAGCAACATAATAGATGAATGACAGACGAAGTCTCCTCTTCTTGGTGGAGGGGCACTGGTCAGCAGTGGCCTCCTGCCAATAGCAATGCCAGTGAGTTTAGACATGGATCCCTTGATAGGACCTTGACCGTGACAAGCCCTGTGCCAGCACCTCAGCATGAACTCCTGTGCACAGAAGCTGTGAGACCATAGCATTTGTTGCTTTGAGCTGCTAATTTTTTAAATATTTATTTTTTTAGTGTAGTTGGGCCTTTATTTTATTTATTTATTTTTATGTGGTGCTGAGGATGGAACCCAGGGCCTCACACGTGCTGGGCGAGTGCTCTACCACTGAGCCACAACCCCAGCCCCAAGCTGCTAAATTTTTGTTATGCAGCAATAAGTAACAATATTGATAAATTCTATGTACTTTACTGAATACATGCAAGTAGCATTAGCAGTAAAGACCCCAGGGGTTAGAAAACGTGCCCAAGGGATTCCAGAGGCCATGGGAGTGAGGAAGAGGTTGCTGGGAGTGAAGTAGGAGCAGCCACTGTGGCCACTGTGAGGTGCAGAACTCAGGTGGTGCTACCGCCTACTCTCACCTGGCACAGATTCCCCAAGTGCCTGAACAGCCTGGCGCCCTGGTGGCCTGGCCCCTGCCAGCATTGGTGGTCCTGTCTGGCTGTAACCAAAGGGGTATCCTGGATCAGGGCAGGCGAGGACTCACAGTCCCCAGGGGAATGTGAACCTATGACTTGTGTGCACAGGTATCAGTTGCTGTGATTACTGTGCCTACTACCCTAGGCAGACAACCTCTCAGGTGGTCCCGCCACCTTTCTGCACAGACACACTTGACCACACTGTCTTGCCCAAGTGGGATATGGGGGCCACAGTGACAGAAGCATTAAAACAAATGTCCAGGGCTGGGGTGTGGCTCAGTGGTAGAGCACCTGCCTGGTATGTGTGATGCCCTGAGTTCGATCCTCAGCATTGCATACAAATAAAAAAATAAATAAAAGATCCATTGACAACAATAAAAAATATATTTTAAAAAAAACCCACCTCCATGGTCACCTCGGAGATGTTGCTGACATCCTGCCTGGTCTCAGCACCCACCTGGTGGCTTCAGGCTCACCTGCCTGGCCCTACTGTGAGTAAAGGGCCTGAGGCATGTGTGGATGGGTAGGAGAAGGTCAGGGTAGGACACTCCCAGGAAGAGGGTGCACCTTGATGTCAAGGGCCTCCTATTGCCACAGGGGATCTTGCCTTTAGCTGGCAAAGCTTCCCCTGCTCCAACAGTCCTCACCTGGGTCATCCCCACAGCCCAATGCCATGTCTACATGAGGGCAAATGTTTACCGATTGTTCATGACAGATGCAGGATAAATGAGGGATGGAAGTTTGCAGCTGGAAGCACGTGCCGAACAGGAAACAGACTGAGGGGTACAGACAACTTAGTAGTGGGGCAAAGAAGATTCGAGATGCCCATGTGGTATCCTGTATGTGTGTGTGTGTAAATGCAGAGAAAAAATTCTAATTAAATGCCTACATCTTTGCTAGTCCCACCAGGAACAAAGGAAAGGTAGTGCTGTTCAATACAGAGAATATCTAACAATATTTGGTTTTGAAAATAGGCACATGGGATACACACAGATATATACATTAGATATATGTTTTGCTCAACAAACTCTAATATCTAACAGATTGCTGGGCACATAGCAAGAAAAATTCCAAAGAATACATAGCATATAGTAAGAATAAATGATGCTTAAATCTTTAGTGTTATGAATTCTTTCTTTTACTTGCTTATACACCTGAAGGTCAGGAGTTCAGATCCATGCCCATGACTATAAAAAAGGTCACCACATTTTGCTTCTCATCACAGGCAGGTCACATCCCTGAAGAGAGTCACTCTTCTTCCTCAGGGTAGCTGATCTCTTCATGTACCACGAGATACTTCCTTTCCCGCCACCTGTGGCTCCAGATATTCACATTCTTCTTCCTGGGTCCTGACACCTTCTCACTTTGCTTCTGAGAAGTACTTGCTTTTCCCAGTGCATATTATTGTCTGTGAGCCAACTGCTTTTGGCAGTCCCTTCGGATCATTTTCTTCCCTTGCTGGCTTCTTGAGCATCTCCTGGCATTTTCTCTGTCACATGCCAGAAGTGCTCTTAGGCGATTCATCCTGACTCCCACGGTTGCAACATTCATCAGAATCATCGCTCTGGGGTTCTATGATCTGTCCATTACAACTCATGAAAGCAGGAAGGGTGGCTCTGGGACCTCAGAGACGAAGTGACAGCGAAGGGTGCACCCTCAATTCTTGATCCCTTCCCATGACCTCTCAAGGCCCCAGGTACAGTGGAGCCCTGGCCTCGGCTCTCCCATCCAGCCCAGGGTAAGGCCAAGCTTTTTCCTTGAGGGGGACCAGGAAGAATTGAAAGCAAATGGAGACTCAACTTCGCATCGTCTGGTTGAGCATGAGCAACTGCCTCCCGCTCAGCCTTAGGAGGAGAGGCACTGTGGAAGTTCCAGGCCCAGGGGAGGGGCATCCCAGACACAGGATATGGTCTGTCCTTGCCATAAAATAGTATGTGACAATAAGAAAGTGAGACACTGGCACCCCTGCAGACTGGGTGAGCCTGAGAATGTGCCAAGGAAAGAGCACTGACACGAAGGCCACACGGCGCTCGCCCATTTACATGACCCTTCCAGTTTGCCAATGATGGAAAGTGAATCTGTGCTTGGCTGGAGCTGGCGGGGGGACCCCTGCAGAACCCATCCTGATGGAGCTGCACAACTCTGACCAGAGAGTCAAGTGTAAGTGGAGGAATTGTATGATGTGCCAATAAAGCTTTGAACCTCCCCCCCACCAAAAGCAACCAAGAGAAAAAAAAGTGCAACTAGAGAAAACAGGCACATTCAGGAGGAATAATAAAACAACAGGTGACAGCAGATTTCTTGTGGGAACAATGCAAAAGAGAAGACAGTCAGTCACCTCTTCACAGTACTTGAAGCAGAAACTGACCCTTATACACATATGTTCAGCTGACATGGACAGAGGTGGAAACTGACCCGTGTACAATGTGGTCAGCTGACATTGGACAGGGGTGGAAACTGACCCGTGTACAATGTGGTCAGCTGACATTGGACAGGGGTGGAAACTGACCCGTGTACAATGTGGTCAGCTGACATTGGACAGGGGTGGAAAGACCCTTCTGTGGGAAAGGAAAGTCTCTTCAGGGAGAGACTCAGGGACAACTGGATGTGCATGTCTGAACCAGTTAACCCCACTTCATGCCTCCACAGGTTAACCCAAACAGAACACAGCCCTCAGCGCAAAGTCCAACTACAGAACTTTCTGGAGAAAATTTAGATACAAAACCAGAACAGTGCATGGGAAAAAAAAAGCTGAATAACTGGCTTTATCAAAAGTAAAAATTTGAAGGCTGGGAATGTAACTCAAGGCAGAGCACTTGCCCAGCAAGCTTGGGTTTTGGGCTTGTGTGCACGCGCGCGCACACACGCACGCACGCGCTTGCTTTCCAAGAGACACTGTTAAAAATGAAAACATAAGACTCAGCCTGGGAGAAACACACGCAAGTCAGACGCAGGGTGCTGCACTTTGGACCGTGACTGTCTCCCCAAGGCCCATTGCTAAAGGCCTGCGGTACTGTTGGGAGCTGGTGAGGCCTGCAGGAGGTAGGGCCCCAGGGGAGGAAGGGTCTGCTGGAACCCGGCCCTTTGCTCTGTCCCTTCTTCCTGGCCGCCATGAGGTAAAGACCCTCTCCAGCACTTGCTCCCTCCCATGGCAGGCTAGCTTGACGTGGGTCCAAAGCAGTGGGTCCCAGTAGCCGTGGACCAGAGTCTCTGAATAAGTCTTTCCTCCTTCTCAGTTGGTTCTCAGGTGTTTGGTCAGTGACAGCTGATTCCATATGTGGAGATGCACTGATAAACAGAGTGTGCACAGAATCCTCAAGCTGAATCATAAAAAAAACGACCTAAATAAGAAAATTAAATTTGGTCAGTTATTTCACCAAAGAAGACGTATGAATGGCAAATACATCCACAAAAGCACACAGGATGTCACACGGAAGGCAAATTAAACCTCAAGGAGACACCGCAGCACACCTGCTGGCATGACCAGACAAGACTGGCCATGCCACGGACTGGGCATCTGGAACATTCCATCACCACTGGGGGACCGTGGAACTGTACAGCCATCCTGGATGGCCAGTGAGGGTGGCTCAGTGGCAGAGTGCCTAACCACCTGACCTGGACCCAGTTCATCCCTAGCACCATTACAAAACAACCAGGGCTGAGGTTGTGGCTCAGAGGTAGAGCACTCACCTGGAACATGGCAGGCACTGGGTTCGATCCTCAGCACCACATAAATAAAGAAAGAAAAGTATTGTGTCCATTTATAACTTGAAAAAAAATATATATATATATAAAACAGAACAAAGCAACAAAACAAACCTAAAAGCAAACACACTGGAAATAGTTGGGCAGTTTCTTAAAAAGATAAATACAGGGCTGGGGATGTGGCTCAAGTGGTAGCATGCTCGTCTGGCATGCGTGCGGCTCGGGTTCGATCCTCAGCACCACATACCAACAAAGATGTTGTGTCTGCTGATAACTAAAAAATAAATAAATATTTAAAAAAAAGATAAATACATAGCCACTACATGACCTAGCCATTCCATTCCCAGGTATTTACCCCAAAGAAACAAGATTGTACTCATACACGAACTTTCACACAAATTTCAAAACAGTTTTATAAGTATTAGCCAACATTTATAAATACCCAAATGTTCACCAACATATTAATTAGTGGTAGCAAATTGTGATATATCCAACAATAGAATATTTATCATTTAAAAAATTTGATATGGGGCTTGGGTTGTAGCTTAGTGGTTGAGTGCTTGCCTCACATGTGTGAGGCACTGGGTTCGATCCTCAGCACCACATAAAAAATAAATAAATAAAACAAAGATATTGTGTCCATCTACAACTAAAAAAATTTTTTTAAAATTTTGATATATGGGGGCTGGGGATGTGGCTCAAGCGGTAGCGCGCTCGCCTGGCATGCGTGCGGCCCGGGTTCGATCCTCAGCACCACATACAAACAAAGATGTTGTGTCCGCCAAATACTAAAAAATAAATATTAAAAAAAATTCTCTCTCTCTCTCCCTCTATCTCTCTCACTCTCTCTTTAAAAAAAAATTTGATATATGCAGTAGTATGGGTGAGTCTCAAAATAATACTGTATGGCAATGTCAGGCATACTGTTCTCTTTTTTACTGTATGAACAAGCATGTGCCACTTCATAGTGATGAAAAGCAGACTGATGGTTCCCTAGGAGGGAGGAAGGAGTCACAGAGGGGCACAAGAACCCTTGGACAAAGGAGATGTCATCTCTCTGGATTATGGCAATGATTTCTGAGTATATTCATATGTCAAAGCCTAGCACATAGTGCACTTTAAATATTTACAGTTTATTATGCATGATTATGCCTCAGTAAAACTATTTCAAAACAACAGGAAGAAGCCCACCCTTTCCCAAGCTTATTTATTTATTTATTTATTTAGTGCCAGGGATTGAACCTAAGTGTTCTTAACCACTGAGGCACATCCCCAACCTCTTTTAATTTATTTATTTTTATTTTTTTAATTTTTTTTTTAAATATTTATTATTTTTTAGTTGTAGTTGGACACAATATCTTTATTTTATTTTTATGTGGTGCTGAGGATCGAACCCAGGGCCTCACATGAGCTAGGCGAGCACTCTACCACTGAGCCACAACCCCAGTCCCTTATTTTTTTAATTTTGAGACAGGGTGTAGCTAGGGCCTAAGTTGCTGAGGCTGGCTTTGAACTGGAGATCCTTCTGCCTCAGCCTCCCCAGTCACTTGGGTTACAGACACGCACCACTATGCCCAGCTTTAATGAGCATTTAAGACAGCATGGAATGCATTAATTGCTCATTGAAAGTTAGCTCTTGCTTTTAAGAGCTGTCTCAAGATCAAGGGCTTGAAAGGGACCACATGGTTTTAGGAAAGGGCTTGGCAATCCCCCTGGAACCTCCATCTTATCCCTCTCCTATCTGGATGGCAGGGGTCAGGACCAAGGGACCCCAGGCAGAGTGGCTTTAAGGTTGTTTTTTTCGCTGAGGAGTCCTGATGCCCTCTAGTGGTATTCAGGGGTACAGCACTCTTCCTTGACCCACTCCCTCCTGTGTAGAAGGGGACTCAGCTGCTTGGATAGGTCTGGCCATCTCTTCTTCACCCAGTCCCTTGGCCCACTGACCAGGTGCTTGTCTCTGCCAGTAATGGAGGCTCCACAGTAGAGCTGAGTCGTGAACGTGGCCTATTCTTCCTCCCTGTGTTGAGGCAGGCCACCACCAGGAAGGTTCACAGGGCAGGGGAATGAAGGAAGGGCTTTCTTCTGAAGGCTCGGTCAGCTCCACCTGACCCATGAGGTTTGTCCTCATCAAACCTGCTAACCCTCTGTCCTCCAGCCCTGCCCACAGCTCGCCTCCCCAGCTTGGAGGGCCTCCTGCCTCCCTGGGGCTCTGTGTTCCCTCCCCAAGGGACGGGGGGGTAGTTATCTAAAAGCCTGTGATAGATCCTGCCATCTCCTGCCCCAAGCTCCCTGCAGTCTTTTCATCTCCCTGTGGGCCGCGTGGGACTTGGTTGTGTGCTCCTTCACACACACGTGGTGCCTCTGAGACGTGACCCAATGCCACTGCCCTGCCCGGCAGGACGTGGTACTGGGCC